TATGGGACACTCTGAAAGCAGTGCTAAGAGGAAAGTTCATAGCACTAAGCGCCCACATGAAGAAACTGGAGAATAGTCACACTAGAGAATGGACAGAACAACTGAAAGCTTTAGAACATAAAAATGTCTCTATGGAGGAGTAGATGCCAGGAAATAATCAAACTGAGGGCTGAAATCAATAAAGTAGAAACTATGAAAACATTACAAAGAATCAATGAAACAAATAGTTGGTTCTTTGCGAAGATCAACAAGATAGACAAACCTCTATCCAAACTTACCAAAAGGCAGAGAGAGAGAGAGCATGCTAATTAACAAAATCAGAAACGAAAAGGGGGATATAACAATGGACACTGAGGAAATCCAGAGAATCTTCAGGTCATACTTTGAAAACCTGTACTCCACAAAATTCAAAAATCTAAAGGAAATGGACAGTTTTCTAGATAGATATCACTTACCAAAATTAAACCAAGTACAGATAAGCAGTTTAAATCGTACTATAAACCCTAATGAAATAGAAGCAGTCATCAAAAGCCTCCCAAACAAAAAAAGCCCAGGATCAAATGGCTTCACTAAAGAATTCTGCCAGAAATTCAAACAAGAGCTAATACCAGTACTCCTCAAATTGTTCCACACAATAGAAGCAGAAGGGACATTGCCAAACTCTTTTTATGAGGCTACAATCACTTTGATACCCAAGCCACACAAAGATACAACTAAAAAAGAGAACTACAGACCAATATCCCTCTTGAACATCGATGCAAAAATACTCAACAAAATATTGGTGAATTGAATCCAAGAACACACCAGAAAAATCATCCACTATGATCAAGTAGGCTTCATCCTAGAGATGCAAGAATGGCTTAACATATGAAAATCCATTAATGTAATCCACCGTATAAACAAACTGAAAAAGAAAAACCACATGAGCATCTTATGAGATGCTGAAAATCCTTTGACAAAATCCAACATCCCTTCATGCAATCCCACTCCTAGGCATATACCCAAAAGAAGCACATTCATATAACA